GTTTTTTTTTTTTTTTTTTTTTTTTGCAGTGCAATAGTAATAAAGCCTGTAAATCCCCAGCACTGATACCACCATCCCTCACTCCACATCAGCCAGGATAAACTGACTGTAACACCCTTGCCTGGTCCTGAGATTGGTCTTGCTGTCCTTCCCCACACAAAGGGCCATTACATATGGACTGGCTTTAGTGGACAAGTTAAAACTTATGTGCCATTCCAGCCTTTTAAATATAAAAACCTCTTTTCAACACTGAAAATTTCCCAGAACCCAATTGTTAGTAAATACCGTAAGATGATCAAGAGTACAGGTCTTTAAGATAAGGAATTGAGGTTTAAATCTGGCTCCAGCCCCTTCTCACTATGTGACTTCGGGCCCGTTACTTAATCTCTCTACAAATCTATCCTAGCAATCGCATGGAAAATTGGAAAACTAATGTTCTCTATAACCCAGGATTGTAGTCAGAATTAAATTAAAATGAATGTCAAATGCCCAGCATAGGAAGTACTCAACATATTTAGTTCTCCTGCTGATTTAGTTCAAAGAGGAAGCTTGATGTACATGTGTCCAGCCACATATTTTACCAAGTATGCAGGCCTTCTCTCCTGGGAGTCACAAGGCCTTAGAGAATGAAACACAGCCCCAGCTATGGGGCTTCCAGGTACCAGACTGCAGCAGTACCCACCCTGGCTCATCAGCTTGTCTTTGCGATGACACAGAGCTATTATCTCAACTATTCTGGATGTAAACCCTGTGATCCTCACTCTCTATATCTGGACTGGTTAAAGTTGGAAAGGAAAACTCAAGTGTGAAGTCAGGTTTCTGGGTAGTTTGGGCCCCAGATTCCAAATAAGAATTTGCAAACACTCCTACACTCACACTACAATCATCTTTTCCCACATCAGAACAACAACTTTATGCATCAGTATTTGTGCGCATTACGTGTGTACGTATGTAATGCTCTCTCGCATGCTCAGCCATGCACAACGTGGATATTCCAATTTTCAGATTGGGCAAAGAAGCATCACATTTATTTTTCAGTGATGCCAAGTTTGACCAGTTTCAATAAGCTGCGTGGCAAAAGAATGTCCCTCTCCAAGAAATCCCTTTTATAGCCTGAAGACAGTTTGCAGCTCCTAATCCTCCAGCACTTGCTCTGTCATTACTAACAGTGCTAGCTTTGTGAAAGGGAAGGGAGAAAGAGAGGCATGAGCCATCTGAGCAAATGTATGGGAGCTCAGAAGCAATTCTTCCTAACTCTACAGCACTGCTGACCTACTAGATGACCTCAGAGAAACTGCAAGCCTCTTGAGGCTCTTCTCTGCTGCTGGGCAGTAATTCTAATGGCCTCCCAGCATCACTGAAAGTGGTAGTAAATATAAATGATTGCAATAAATAGAAAGCTGTTCTGAGAATGCTGATTAGTAGCTGTATACGAGCAATACAATAAATTCACTGAGCAAGGACATTCCAAAACTAAAGCCAAAAAATTATAATTAAATTTGTTTAAAGCACCAGCCTTGTCAAAAACTAAAAAGCAAAATATTTATATTTATATATAATATTCTAGCAACTGCTGCTAAAACCACTTACAGAAAAAAAATCTAATCTCTAGCTTGACAGCAATAAAGAACTAGACCTTGCTTTACCCATGAAAAAGAAGTAGAGCTGCTTTTTGCTTTTGAGTGGGATTAAAAATTTTAGACTAATAATTCATTGATTAGAAATTTTCCTTACTATCATGAGAACAAATTTCACTGTTGTTTCTCCAAAAGAACTGGGTTTTAAAAAGATCCATATAAATCCCTTTCTTAAAACTGGTCTCCATCTTCCTTGAAGTCTTGGGCCATGAGTTTTGTATTTTTTGAATAAAATCAATGAATGATCAGGAAAATATAGGTGAAAAAATGATAGATTTATATGGTTAGATCAACTCTAGGGTAGGGAGAAGCAAGGTGTGAAATGAAACAAACAAGTTAGACTGTGGGTAAATGACGATCAATTATACTATTTTCGACGTTTTCAGCATCAGTTTTCCAGATGATGTATCTCATGATTAACTGCTCTCTCAGTGATAAGAGGTATGAAAACAAAAGAGATCATTGTAGAATGTAGGAGAAAATATAGTCTTAGTAGTTACCAGATTTATGTTAGCTTTTTTAAGAGCTTCCATATTTATTTTGTTTCTGTCTACAAAGTTTTAAAAATCATTGTCAAAAAATGAGGGGAGTAGAAAAGTTATCCTCCAAAAACACCCCTTAGAAGCACATGACCCACTCTGAAAAGCAACATCTATGCCTCAGGAGAATTTAACCCCTTGCAACACAAATTTTAGAATGTGCACTATTCCAGGAGAGAATAGATACTTCTCATGTTCATCCAGGATGAAACATGGAAACTTCTGTTAAAGTTATAAAGTTTATACCAAAACCCTCAGCAACTTAGCTTGGTCCATCTGGGCAGCAGCAAGAATAGCATAAAATATTTTACTATAAAATATAACTGCATTCAAAACTCTAAGCATGTTTCCAAAGGAGTTATGACGATGCTTTTGGTAAAACTACCACATCAGGGACCATCACTTATTCATTCAAGTAAAAGTTTGAAGCTAATTCAGAAGAGACGTGAGAGGGCTCTGTGCAGGCAAGGGGCAGAGGGTGGTGCTACAGAAAGCATCTCCTGTTACATATTCTCTGCAAACAATCAGAAGATATTTCTCATAGAATGAGTTCCTGAATTGATAAAATGATCCAAAGGAGCAATCATGGGGATGTCGGAGTGTTGGAATTTGAGAATGGAAGAATGCTAATGACTAGAGGTGATGGACCAGAACCAGGAGATGCACCGTGGACAATGCCCTTCGGTGTACATATTTTGGCTGATTTCCATTCCTAGACAATTCTGTCTACAGCAATAGCAGCGGGAACAACAGATTCACCCCAGTGCTACTTATGCATGCCTCATTAACCAGGCCAGAAGACCCTGACGAAAGTTGGAGGCCATGAGGGAGATTTGTTGCTTTTGTTTCTGGTATAATGTATAAACCACCTGAGGAGAATGTAAATAGATGGAGCTCAACAGCCACATCATTTTCTGACTAACCCCCTTTCAGGGAAATCAAGAAGCACTCTACAGAGTGCGTGGTTTTATGGGGATGTGACATCATGCGATTACTGTGGGCTTTACTGAGATTAAACCCAAATGGATATTTGTTGAAAATTTAATTTAAAAAAATTTACCACATTACATCAGGTTTTTGTTATGTTGACCGTTGTTCTCTGTTCCAGCCCTGCTGAGGCTCAGCTAGTTTCCTGAATGGTCTGGGTTTTGACAGGAGTCCAGGGGCTACACACGGCCGTCCACCAATCTAGTCATCCAATTTCTTTGTTATTCACTCATTTTGTCCCTTAGGAACCACTTGGGCAGTATGGCCCTCATCAGAAAGACTTTCTCAAGCATGGCCTATCATGTACCACTTTTGTCACATTTTTCCTATTAGCTGGTTAGTTATTTATCTCTTGCATTAGATATCAGTTCCTGGGTAGCAAGGATCTGAGGATGAATAGCCTAGTGGTTAAGAGCTCAGGTCCTAGGGGATAGACTGCCCAGGTTTGGGACTCCAAGATTTATTAGCTGGATGCCCCTGTAAAAGTCCCTTAACATTTTATGCCTTAGTTTTCTCATCTGTGACAAGAATATCATTTATCTCATTGGGTTGATATCTCAAGCATCAAAAGTACTGAGGTCTACTTAAAAGTTTGTTAAGATTGCTTTGTTATTTTATTCTTATTCTTTTTCATTATAGTTTCCCTTTTCATCCCCTGTGTCTGGTACACTACATAGCACATTTTAAGTGCTCAAATTTTTGAGGAATGAACAAATGAATAAATGGAGTCATAAAGCAAGCAGCCTCAATAAAATTACAGTGAAATTGCATCTTTGAAGAATACAAACAATGAAAAAGTTCCAATAACAATATACTTACCAATTATATTATGTAAAGATAATCAGTGCTCACAACAAAAATCCTAGAACAGTTCATAATACTGACCATATTCTAACAAATCAAAAATGATTAAATTATTTTCAGTGCCATTTCCAGATTGATTCTCACATTGCATTCTAAATTCATCAAGAATTTTTCATTCCCCAGTGATGTACAGATAGCAGTTCCTAAATTGTCAGAACATTAAAATTATTAGAGGTCCCAAGACCTACCATTTCAGAATGTATGATTATTTTACTGTATTTTAAAGCAAAAAAAAATAGCATTCTTAAAGCATGATTGACATATACTAGATACCTCTTTCACAATATACTTATTTAGCTTGTTCTTTCAAATTTCATATGTTCAAAACTGACTTAATATGCATCAATTTTGAAGAAACTGAAACAACCTTATACTGCCCTTTCAGAAGTAGGTGCTGGGAGCTATGAAGGTGACAGAAATCAAGAGTAGCCACACCATCCTCAGAAGTAAATTTCAATCAGTAAGATCACTATGGGCTCCTTCCTTGCCCACTTTTCAGCACTAAATTTAGGCCAGCTGTTTGTTACCCAATATTGGAGCATACACTTGTCATTCCTGTTGATTTGTGCACATGCTGTTCATCCATTTGAGTCACATCACAAACCCAGAAAGGCATGACCCATTTTCAGAAGTGCAAAAAGTTAGGTCAGCACCCACATCTGAGGTGCCAAGCCCTCCGTATGAAATATGTATGGGGTATGTGTGAGAAGAAATGACCAGACAAACAAATCAATATTTTCCATGACCTTGAACTAGTTTGCTCAGGAAGGATATTTTCATTCACAGCTTCGTACCTTTAATTCTCCAATGGAGGAAAGTAGTCCTGCTCCATAGGCCCGCAGTTGCCCTTCTTGCTTACAAAGGCCAAACTCAATTGTGAAGAAATAGCACTGGAGAGGGGAGAAAAGAAGTGTACACACATTCAATGAACTGATCGATAGATTCTTATGGATAATAAAATGACACCCAAAATAAAATGTTACTCTGTGCGTAATTCCTTTAACATTATCAACTGAAACAGTCAAATCAAGAATATTTGTGGAAACCTATTCTCTTCTTTGGTAATCTTTCCTTAAGCTTAAGATATATGAAAAAAGGATTAAGTGCTAAAAAATTTTATGCTTCCTGGCTTCACAAATCCTATGGGTCAAATCATATTTTATTTAAAATAAAAAACAGATTTAGAAATAAATGAGTATATTACAATGATAAAACCATGAAAACATGCCCCTATACTTACCGAATTATGTTTCAGTGACATAAATAAGTTCATGCAAATGTGGAAAAATAGGCAGCTTTCAGTCTGGTTTTTATAATTTGCTTCCTCATTTGACAAACATTTGCTGAGTACTGACTAGGGGCCAGTGCTTGGTAAAGAACTGTGGTGAACAGCATCATGTGCCCCCAAATCTGTCAGGCCCCTAAATCTGTCATGCCCCTTAATGTTAACTTTTCTCCCAACTTCTGGTCCCTAGCAACACTTCTTTGACTTTCTCTCTACCACGTTGCCTTTTTCCAAATGTCAGATAAATAGAAGTAAGCAACGTGCAGTCTCCTGAGTCTGCCTCTGTGACTCAGCACAATGTACGGGAGATTTGTTGGTGCAGCCTGTACTCAAAGTTCCCTCCATGGTGTTGAGTATCTTGCTCTGCTGGTGTCGAATGTTGTGTTAAATTGGTGGGGAAGAGTGTCTGGTGAAACAGTCAGAAAAGGACGTAAAGAAATCCAAAGAGGAAGTGTTTGAGTAACTGAACAAGAGTCTTTGGGGCAGAATTTGTGTTCATTTTACTTACTAAGTATCGTACGTTGTTTGCTTTAAGAAGAAATGAATAGTGGTAACCAAAAAGACCAAGAAAGTAATTACACACCTACAAAATTGTCAAGACAACAATATGAGTAAATTTTAGCAAAACTGTAAATGTGTATCTATGCACTGCATGCATAAGTGTGTGTGGACTCACGTATGTACAGATCCACACTGGCCTGAATTTTATCAGCTTCAACTACTACAGCTTCCCCAGAATATTAAAATCTGCAATTGCTTCTGCTGGATTTAAGAAATCAGTATAGACAGACAGAGAAAGCTCTGCACAACCAACAAAACCCACAATGCCGTTGAAAAAGGCTGAAGTCACACTATTTTTGTTTGTAGAGAAAAGTGAGAAGTTGACAGAGCAATGGAAACTGTATCAAATTAACACTGTCCTGCATTAGTGATGATAGAGCACTGAAGGTGTCAAGAAAGAGAAGAATTTCAACACTCCTGAAAAGGGGCAGAAAATAATTATTATTTCTAGCACATGGCAGTTTGTTCTATTTTTATTTAGAGGTTAAGATGTCCCTTGCTTCCAAAGGGTTTTATTCATTTTTTCATGTGAGGATGATCCCTGAAGATGAGCGATGCTCTGCAGCACAGAGCTGGACCCAAAGGACTGGTCGTTTCCAGGTCAGGAAACTCAGCCTCCAGAGGCAAAATTTCCTTTCCTGATTCACCTCCTTTCCTGATGGGCTAAAATTACAGCCTATCAGTCAAACATCGGAGTCCAAGCCCCAACAGTACTCCTCCTACTCAGTGTCTTTCCTTTTGCAGTACACCCTTTTCCAACATGGCCTGCGATTTCTTTATGCGTGATATATACTGCACATTGCTTGTCTCCCACCCTGGGCTCCAGACATCATGGCCACAAGTGTCTCTTTCTGCTTTTACAACAAAGAGCCTCAGCTGCCATTGCTCCAGCACCAGGAGGATCTGCTTGGGCCCAGTCTGTGGGACAGGTAGCCGCGCCCTCCCCTGCCAGGCCACCACCATCACTCCAGTGCCAGGAAGGTAGCCGCACCCCCCAAACCCTCCAAAAACACCCCCCACACACACTCTCAGACCTCCTGATTGTGCCAGCCTTTGGACCCACTCTGCAGAGGCAGAGGTGGTCATAAAGGGTATTTTTCTGAGTTCCCAACTTTGATCATCTCTAAAGAAAGGGCGTGGGAAACCTGTAGTAGAACCGTGTGGAGTTCAACCATTCAGGAGGTCAGGGAACTTAATCTGGGCCTTGTAGACTGAGGTCAGTCTGCATTGTGGGGTTCTGCCATCAGCTAGCTGAGATCAGAGGTCTTGGTCCTGCACATTGCTGCACATGTTGTATATTATGACAGCAGAGATATAGTCTGAAAGAGGCCCTTCAAATACATTTCTTTCTTTCTTTTCCTCATTTCACTCTGTAAATTCTTTATTTTTTCTGTCCTCTTTCTCCAACTCAGTCTCTTTCTCCACCACATTATCCCTCATCTCCCGTTATATTTGTGCTCCTGCCCTAACTCAGATTTTTTTCTTTTATCATTTTCCTCTTTTCTTTATGTTCTTTTCATCTGTCATTCTACCTCACACAGGGGTCAGTGGTTTCAAGGGAAAGTGAGCCCCTATTACTGTTAAGGGGATATATTCTTATCCTTGTACTTCTACTCTGTCTATCCCCTATGAATTTAAAAGTTTCCTGAAGATTGTGTGGTCATTCTATGCCCTCTGGCTTCACTTGAAACTTTCTCCAATACTTTTACTTATCTACTCCTCTCATCCTAACTCTGTCAAAGCCCCTAACCTAAATGTAAATATACTAGGTTGAAAAGTTTGTGCACTGCAGACATGTTTTGGACTACTTCTTGATTTCAATTTAATTCAAATGGTTTAAGGGTGATAGACTAGTGACTACCACAGGTGGTCAGTTTCCAAGTTGTGCTTGATCATATTGTGTTGCTGATTGTATCAGTTGGGATAAAGGATTGTTGTTGATTTAATGAGCTGTTTTCTCTGATGTTATGAAGATGAGAATGTCTATGGGTCGTTAGAGACCCAGAAGCTAGGGCGCAACTATATCAGGAAGATTTGGGTGATAACCCAGAGATTAAACCAAGGACAGCCCAACCACAAAAATAAAAATGAGAAAACACTTAAGCAAGACACAAAGACCGACCTCCAGTTCACCAATGGCAAACAGTAGGGCAAATGAGGAAGAAAACGCTGACAGTAAACCACCAGGACACCCTGAACTCAAAGCACAGGAAGTAACAAAACGGATCAATGAGGCTCTAGAAAAATTCAAAACAGAAATAATTTCCCAGATAACCATAGAGATGGTGAGCAAAATGAAAGTCATGATTCAAGACTCTACAACAGAAACTGACAAAAAAATAGATGAGCTCAGGACCATGATAGAAGCCATGAAGGCCCAGCATAAGAAAGAAATGGAAACAATAAACGCCCAACATAGGAAAGAAATGGAATCCATAAAACAGATTCAAACAGATATCCAGGAGATTAAATACTCTATTGAAAGTGTACGCAACAGAATAAAAGAATGCAAAGATAGAAACTCAGATATAGAAGATAGGACTGCAGGCAGTGGCTATGAAAAGAGAGGTCTCTTAAAAAACACTAGGGGATCATGAGAAATCGATCCAACAACTCCTAGATGATGCAAAGAAGAATAATATAAGACTGATAGGAATCCATGAAGTAGCAGGAGAAAATACAAATGACTTTAAAAAGCTGTTCACAGAATTAATGACAGAAAACTTCCCAAACAGAGGGGAAGAATTTTACATTCAGATAACTGAGGCATATAGGACTCCAACTAGTTAAAATCAAAAAAAAATCTACACCTAGACATATAATAATCAAGATCCCAGAAACCCAACAGAAGAACAAAATACTACAAGCAGTAAGAGAAAAGAAACAAATCACATGCAAAGGAAAGGCCATCAGAATCACAGCAAAACCCTTAGGTCAAGGACAGCCTGTAGTGAGGTATTTCAAGTCCTAAAAGAAAACAACCTCCAACCTACACTGATATATCCTGCAAAACTCTCTTTCAAAATAGATGGGGAAATAAGATACTTCCATGACAAAGAACACCTGAGAAACTACATGAATACTAAACCAGCACTACAAGCAATTCTAAACAAGATCCTAGAAAAAGACAATGAAAGCAACAACACCATGAGGCCCAACAGAGCAAATCAAATAGGCAAGGCAAGAAACTAAAAGGAGAAGGTGAAAAAGTAAAAAGAGTCAACAAAAGGCCAATAACATGACAATAATAAGTCAGCACATATCAATTATAACCATCAATGTCAAAGGCCTCAACTCACCAATCAAGAGAAATAGACTGGCAGAATGAATTAAGAAGCAAAATCCAACAATATGTTGTATACAAGAAACACACCTAGTGCAAAAAGACGCCCACAGACCGAAAGTGAAAGGATGGAAAACAATTCTCCATTTGACAGGAGCCCAGAAAAGAGCAGTGGTAGCAATCTTATTCACAGACAAAGTAAATTTCAAACCAAAACTGTTTAAAAGAGACAAAGAAGGCCACTACATCCTTGTAAAGGGAACAATTCAAAGGAAGAGATGACAATCATAAACATATATGCACCAAATATTAACACCCCAACTATATAAAACAAATACTAACAAACATGAAAAACCAAATAAGCACTAATACAATTGTAGTGGGGTATCTAAATAGACCACTCTCACAAATAGACAGATCATCTAGGCAAAAAATCAACAATGAAATACTAGAACTGAACCAAGCTTTTGAAAGCATGGACTTAATAGACATCTATAGTGTTCCACCCCACAAAATCAGAATATACATTCTTTTCAGCTGCACATGGGTCATTCTCCAAGATAGATCACATACTAGCTCAAAGAACAGGTTTGAATAAATGGAAAAGAATTGAAGGTATTCCCTGTATATTATCAGATCATAGTGCAATCAAGCTGGAGATCAAAGCACAAGAAACCATAGGAATTTCACAAACACATGGAAATTGAACAACACTCTCCTGAACAATCAATGGATCACAGAGGAAATCAAAGAATAAATCA